ATGTGGCAGAGGTTGGTCAGGCGGAAGACTTCTTGGGACTTCTCCGTCCTAGGAAGTGTGATAAGGAACAAGGGAAGGTAGATATTATCTGTTCCCTCTGGAGGAGTCCGACGACTGGTCATTTGTTTGACGCTAATGACGTCAAACCCCAGACTCACCAGTCCGTCAGAGATATCTTCCGCTGGAGTGTTGTGTGGAAGGTGACGGATTACTGCTTTGATTGGCTTTTCGGACTTGGGAAAGAATGTAAAGTACGATAGATTGGTACTTTCTAGGAAGGTTTTGATGGCTGAGAAGTCCGCCATTTCCTTCGTCACAATTCTGGTCCCGCTCCTGGTGTTGCAGAACTCAAAATTGCCCGTGACCAGTTCTTTGACCTTCCTCTGCAACTGCATCAGGTTTGTCGTGGAGGTTAATACAATTGGAGGCAGCCTACCTGGCTTGTCCGATTGTTGCTGCTCTCCCGGCTTATTGGTCAACTCTTCCACGTCCATACCTGACGTCCTCAGGGGCGCAAAGAAGTTCTTAATTTCAACTTCATTCTTTGATTTTAATCTAGGATCCCGGGGGCTAGGTGATTGTTTCGGTTTCTTAGATTGTTCTCCTGAGGAGTTTCGCTTTCGTCTCCTTTGTTCGCGAAAATCCTCGGCTGAATCTTCTTTTCCTTCCAGCAGGAGAGACTCTCGCATCTCCCTGTGGATGGCAGCATAGAGGCGCAGCATGGCTGTAAAGAGCGTCTTGCCCTCGAGGTGCTTACACAGCACTTTCCTCTCTGCCTCGGATTTTGATATAAGTTTGTTCCATATTACCGTTTCCGTTTGTTGAGGGCGATGTATGGATAAGCTGTCCAATCGTTTGTAATCCTTTCCCCAGTAAATCGATGTCTTCCTGGCAGTCAGGATTACTGATTCTTAAGTTCACGTGGTTCCTCTCAAACGAAGCCACGATTGCGTTCCACCGTGTTTCGCACGATGTCAGCTCCACCATTTTGTCCGTTGCAGACGGGATGGCCACCGCCACAGATGCACTAGCCACGCACTATGCACTGGTGACAGAATAGTAACTAGGTGGCTACAGACGAACACTCAAGATTATGGTCACCTGGGACCGCTCAAACTCCTTCCGTAAACGTCTCCCGAACCAATCTCACTCCTACTCAAACAGACAATCTCTCACAAGTTATGTACCAGTAAGAAAGTACACCTAAACAAACAGACAATCTTTTCAAGTCCCATCCGAAGAACTCGGACGCTCTCACTAGCCTGATCGATTTCAACGTAATCAGTACACCACAAAAATTTTCTGATCAATATCCTCCGTTTTTATCACGCATTTCTGCAACGCTCGCTCTTCACATCACTTTTCACCATCACGCGCGCTAACCAATCAGATTGCTCCAAACGTTCGCATTTATACTGCGCTCGCTGCTAGCCAGCATCTACGTCATTACGCGCGCTAGCCAATCAATTCTTCCTCCTCAATTTCAAGTTTCGCTCCGCCCACTGAGCAGTGTATAAAAATGGGCAGCTCCAACGCCGAATCGGCAGTTCATAATCAGTCTACGAGCTAGCCACACCAAGCAGCACAGCCAGCAGGCTTCGCCGCCAGCGCTCGGTCTTTGGAGGTATCGGCAGGCTGCGCCAGGCACGACCGCCTCGGTCCTCCGGCTCTCTCACACCCGACTCACTGGGGCACCGTGCCCGGACTCGCCGGTAGTCGTGTTACTGTCCAACCCACTGGGCATCTGGCATAGCCACTGCTTCATAACTCCTACGACCGCGCTCAACGACTAGCCTTTCACCAGCAGCCGCCGCACTGCGATCAAGCAACCTCCAACTCACGCTGCCGCACGGCAACCAAGCAACCTTCAGCCACGGCTGCACTGCGGCCAGGCCACTCACCGCAACTAGCCTCTCTCCTTATCGGTGCGCGCCGCGCTACCTCTCCGATCAAGCATCTCAGCAACCACGGTCCTTTTCAGGACCAACAAACTGTTCCGAAGAAGTGGGTTGTCATCGAAGTAATGACACAAACAACACTTAAGAGCCCCACACTACTATTCACTACCATTAGCCATTTATGTAAGCTTACCTCAAGCCTTTTTATGGAGACTTTGGTCTCAGCTGCAAACTGCACTGCCTGAGGATAGTAGATAGCCATTGCTAACTGCAGGATATTGTAGAACTGTGCCATGGCAAACACCTGCAAAAATATATGCAAGATTATGTTACTATTTTGAAGTTTTGGTGACATACTGTACATTTGCTGTACCATCTTATATTTATATACAAATTTTCTTGTTTATGTAAATTGATTTACATTATCTGAATAATTTTTAATGTACTGAGACACTCCTCCAATAGAGGAAAGCAGAAAGATGGGCCACATCCAGGAAATAGGCAGCAATAAAATTATATGGGAATGAAAGAAAATGTCACAGAGTGTGAATGACTGTCACAGGGAGGCATATTTAATTACCAGCCACTACTGGTACTCAAATCAGTGTGTTTTCAACTTACATAAGTCAACTGTCAGCAGTGTTTCAAAGAGACATATAAGCTCCAGGGAGCACTGCAGCCTAGGGACAGCAGGACAGATGTGAAAGAGAAGTATGATGTTATGTGTCTTTTGAATCATTGAGGCAACAGTTATTATGGAAAAGGTTCAACTAACATCTTACAACTACAAAGCTTCTAAAAAATATGCATTTTATTTGTACCTATAGGTATTCTGATACATTTAAAATGATGGTATATTTGCCTGATTCTTCATCTATTAGTAAGACATGGCATCCATCATCTTCATTCAACATGATCAAACATATTGTAACGTGTTTGCATTCCAGAAGAGTCACTGCTATGGAAACGCTAGAATAGACCGTTACAGAGGAGACAACAATTGCTCCATTGTAGTTCTAACAGGAGTCTCCATGGTTATAACAAAGGGTTCGTTGCCTAACAGTGGCCAAGGTTATAAAAGCCCAGTTTCGACAAGAAGTCTCAGTCTTCATCGAGCCAGCTAAGAAACCAGTCGTGATCGAGCCATCTTGGGAGCCAGTCTTGGGATAACCGCCAGAAGAGATAGTCCAGCATCGCCGAGTTATTGTAAGCAGTGATTGTGACACTGCAGACAGGAATGATTGTAAAGTGTGTGTAAACGATTGTAAAGTGTGTGTAAACGAGCGAAGGAATAAACTCGCTATGCCAAAGGACGGTGTGAACTTATTTGTAGCGTGACACACCCAACACGCTACATTGGTGTCAGAAGTGGTTTACGAGCTTAAACACGCCTAGATTTAGGAAGAAGTATTGAATTTACAAAAAAAAAAGAAGAAGAAGAAGAAGAAGAAGAAGAAGAAGAAGAAGAAGAAGAAAATGGAGGAGCAAGACATTCAGCTACTACTTGAAATGCTGGCAAGAATGGATGCCAGCATGAAAACCCATCAAGAAGAGATGAGGTCCTACCAAGAAATGACGGAGGCCAATAGAAATTCTGACCAGGCAAAGGCGGACGCCAGACACGCAGAGCTGATGGCCGATTGGAAAGTCTGGGGGGAAGAGAGGAGATCTTCCCACAAGAAAATAGTGCCCATAACAGATGAAGAGCCGACCTCCGTAGAAACGAAACCTGAGGCGGCAGAGCATCAAGAAGTCCCCGTAGAAGACGCCCCGAAAATACCGGTCGGAGAACCGAAGAAAAGGCGTAGGGACCAGAAACTGGCCGCGAAGTGCCGCTGCCAGAAAGCGAAGGATTTGGCAGGGGAAAATCGTAGGCCCCAAAAGGAACTGGCCATCACACACAAAACGACATCCCGTTGACACACACCCAACACGCTACAATATATTTCAATTACCATATCTCAACATAATGCTCCGAAGATTGCAGGAGTCAATTACCTTGTCAGCAGAAATATGATGCCCCATGAGTGAGTATGAGAGAAGGGTGATGAAGAGTGATGTACGCTCTGAAAAAACCATTGTGGACAGGTACAAGCCTCGTAAGTAAGAAGCACTGGTCACAACTTTGATTTCATGCCTGCCAACAGTACAGTAACACATAACAATTACTCATGTGCACTTGGTAGTATAATAAACATAAATCGCTAGTACCCTACATTTTATAGTGATGAAAAATGTATCTGAGGCTATATTAGTTAATGTAACTTTGTAATATAAAAGTTCATTCAGAGCAAATGAATTTTAACACTATTAACATTTGGGTAGCAGAACCTGGAGATGCAATACCATTTCTCTCATAACTGGTTGTGATCCTGAGCCAGTTCCATTCATCTCCCATTTTCACACACTAGATCCTAAAGATCCACCTTAATGTTACTATCCTGTCTTCTCATTCCTCAAAGTGCACTTTTTCAAGAGTTTCCGTTAAATTCTGCATGCATTCCTTGTCTTCCCATCCTAGCCACATACTTACTCCATCTTAGCCTCCTACAGTTCACTAATCTAGAAACACTATCTGACCCGTACAAATTACAAAGTTCTTAAATACTCATTTATTTTATATTTCAGGGGAGCAAATATTTTTCTGGGAAGTTTGTTTCCAAGAATTTAATTTATTTATTTACATTATATAAGAGAAAACATTTTACACCCTTACAGGATAGCTGGTAAGCCCACTGTTTTGTATATCCTGATCATCAGTGTCCTAAGAAGTAATTCCGGGCATTATTTATTGAATAATAACAAGTACTTCCATAATTACATCACAAACTTCTTTTCAATTTTTTTAAGTTTTGTCCCAATATAAGTTTAAAATATACACAGATGGTTTATTACATATGGTCATATCATGACTTGCTTGTTAATCTTGGTTTCAGACCCTTCGGTTTCTTCTCCATTTCCTTCTAGACTTATTTCTATGTTGATCTATATAAGAATTTGTCACCTATACTTTATGGTATTTAAAATTTCCCCTAATAAATCAATATCATGAGCATGATGCACCCAATGGAAGGGAGTAAATTCAAGGCACTCCTGATTATTTGGTCTTTCTGGAAAGCATATTCTACAGAAAAATTAAAAAGCAATGGAAATAAAACAGATCACTGACACTTGTTTTTGACTGGTTAGACACCTCATGCATACACATTTAAGTTTAAAAACATAATGTTGCATGATGACTCAAACAAGTGAAAACAGTAATACTCCTATATAGAGTCACAATATGCAGATATATTCAGTTACAGAACAGGCACAATGTAGCTGTTGCAGCAATAACAACTTTCAACCATGAAGACTACAACGCATATTAATAGCAGAACAAGGAAGACCAGCAGCTGAAAATTAACAATAAGAATGAAATTAAGATTGTACAGTGTAACTACATATTGAAAGCAGAGAAGGAATATTAGATAAAGCAACTTTTCAGAAAGACAGGAATACACAATGCACACTTGAATAAAACAGAGCTGTGAGGATATACATATTCCAACACACTTCAGTTACTGATATGTACATGAACTTGGTTCATGCAAAGTGCATTCCTTGAAAATCATTCATTTAGCAAAAGTCTGCTAAATGAAAATCATTTCCTCTGCAAAATGTTATGCTAGTGCAACTGACACCTTGATCAGAAAAAGATGGAGAATTTAAAAAGTGACGTTCTTTTAAACACTCTGTGACGTAAACAGTGTCACAATTTTAGAGTGGCTGTAGAAGGGGTTTGGACTGGTAATCGGATTTATTGAACACTTACAGAACATAACTACAAATAACTATGAGTCTCACTGAGTTACATACTTCGAAGATCACTATGACTACAGCTGACACAAAGTCTTCTTAGTCTTCCACTGCAATTGCTTGGTAGCAGCTTACAACAGCAGACATTCCACTTACTCTGGGTTCCCTAAACGTCCACAGCCTCAGCTACAGCAACTCTCAACTTTCATCTGGCTGACTCTGGGGTGGGGAGACACTACATTTAGGGGCGGAGGGGGAGCAAGAAACTAAACTTCCAGTTTAAAGGTTCCCAGGCAGCGCCCACTTGTCCTCCTGGTAGAGGTGATGCATATAATCGGAATTAAATTTTTAAGTGATGCTGGAAGCTCTGCATTATAGTGAAATTTGATCTAAGATTGAGGGGATTCAATGTGAAATTTTGATGTTACCATTGTGAAAGTCACATATAAAACATGCATTGCAATGTGAAATTTATGTACCAACACAGGATTTGCTCTAGGATTAAGGGAAACCACGGAAAACCTTGATTGATTTGGCCAGTCACAAGACCCTCCAGATGCAAACTATCTTCTAGCCAGTAGTTCAGCGTTAAATATGCGAACCCTAATATTAGTTCACTAGCTGTCCTGCGTATAACATCTCACTATGGACCGCTCAGAAAACAGTTTCTTTGTTGCTGTTTCAAGTTTTTGCCATACATACATGCTTTTTTGTGAAGCCGCTGCTCAGTAATGGCTGTTCTATAGCAGCTCCTTATGTGGTAGTTGCCTAGCAATGGGTCTACATGCCACACTGCTTCCACCATAAGGCTATTCATCCTGAATGGCCTACAGGCATACCACCATTTCTTCTTTTCCGAGGGGATTCTTATTACGTCTCTGATTGGCCTCGCCTTCCTTCTCTGTGACTCAGTTTTCATGATGATTACTATCCCATTGCTCCTTAATGTCGGTCATCCTGAGTGGTTTCCCGATAAGGTGCGAGCTGGTCCAGGTGTACCAGAACCATCTTCTCTTCCAGTCTCTGTGGCAGAAAAGTTCCAAGAGTGGTCGATGTTCCTACATCTCTGGCTCTTTAAGCTGCCAGTAGTCCCTTCAGTAGCACCATGGTTTGTCCAAGGGTCTCATATAATGTCTTCTTCCTTCTCAGACATAGCAACTATCTCCTATTTTGAATTGTTTCGAATTGTTTCATATTTGGTCCGTTACACTATCAATCACAAATTGTCAATGAATAATCTGTCGAGTGTAACAATGTTTTTAGGTCACTTATTTATTTCACTCGCCTTACATGTTTCGGTTTAAAATAAACCATCATCAGAGGCACGTTTACAAACACATGAAACCACTGGCGTTGTATAATTTACACAGTATGTAAGCTGCGTGAACACTGCTACAGATGTCGGAGTGTAAAAGCACAACACTTTCTAGTAGCGTTGAATGCACGTACAATTCTTGCATTCCATCCGAAGAATGCCCTCAAATTGAGCCGTCAATGTTAAAATATTTAAAAGTTTAAAACATTTGAAATAAAATGTTCAGTTCCTTCTTGTTGATTCGTCCCGGTGATGGGAATCGTCAACTTGAGGTTGTGTATGCTTTTGGTCGGATGTGTCTTACGCGTTGTGTGTTGTGTACTCATTGTGTACTAAAAACATTGTTACACTCGGCGGATTATTCATTGACAATTTGTAACTATCTCCTACTTCAGTCTTTTGATCTACTGTTGCATTTTGGGCCCACCCATCTTGTCCTCTCAAACATCCATCCTTCTGAGACTCCTTTTGCAATGCTGTCCCTGCCTGATCCCTAACAACCATGTCCCTTGCACAGTGCAAGAACAGCATGGCAGGTCAACCATCCATTTGTGGTGGCCAACTTCTTCTGAGACCCACCATTGCCCTGGGTCCATTTCTTTGGCTGTCGGTGGTGCAATACGTCTAGATGCCAGTCCTCATACAGATCCTCCATGATCCAACAGTTTCCAGTGCGGCCTCTTCTTTAGGGACTTCCTTATCTTCTGGATAGGCCTCCATTACTAATAGGCAGGCTGTCATCTTTTTTCAACCATCCTTCATTTCTTCTAGCCAGGCATCAATTATTTCTTGATAGGTATCTAACTTGGCCATCATCCTGGCCTCGAACTTTTCCATGATGGCTATCAGGCCTTCCATCATTGGTTCTATCATCTGCTCCACTTTTGTAGGCTGACAATACAACCAACCGTTGCAGTCTTAAATCCAATCCCACTTCTGACACCAGCTGTCATGATTTTAGAGTGATTATAGATGGGCTTTTGACTGGTAATCAAATTTACTGTACGCTTATAGAACATAAATACAAACAACTATGACAGTCTCACTGAGTTACACACTCCAAAGATCACTGTGACTACAGCACATATAAAGTTTTCTCAGTCTTCCTTAACTGTTGTTTGGTAGTGGCTTCCAACGTTGGATGCTCCCCTTACTCTGGGTTCCCAAATTATATCCCAGCCTCAGCTACAGCAACCCTTGACACTCAACTAACTGACTCTCACTAACTGTCCCACTTATAACATCTTGAAACAGACTGCACAGAAAACACCGTTCCTTTGTTGCTGTTTCCAATAGTTGCCATGCAAACATGCTTGTTTATGAAATCATCACTCAGTAACAGCTGTTGTATAGCTGTTTCTTTTGCAGTCATTGCCTAGCAATGGATCTGCATGCCACAATAGGTTATATGTTTGAGACTTCAGTCAAGTTTTTCAGTTTCAGACCCCTGCAACTGACACAATCCACTTCCACATTAAATGACAATCTTCCACTCCAATTCAACCATATGAAACCCAAAAGCATACAATTCTGTGATTCATTATTCCTTGCCACTCACTGTCACTATCTCATCTGATGAATATATAAAATAGTGTACAGTAATTACAAATTAGTCACCTTCTAGCAAGCTGCACCATCTTCTCAAAAGGTCTTTCCCATGCATACATCTTAATCACCTTAATTCCAGAAATAATCTCACTCATTAGTCGAACTCGTTCATCAGTGCGTGTAGCAATATTTAAGCGCAGCTTTGATGTCAGTTTACTCAGGTAACCTGAAAATCAACAGTCACAACTGAGATAGCTAAAAGTAGTTTGATTAGTTTCTTCCGATCAAGATGAAAATTATACTAAAGCCAAAGCAAAATTCAAAACATTAATCAGAGGTAAACCTGGAAATAATGATAATTAAAAAGACTGATTTTACTGCATATCTACACACAGTGCAATAACATCCCATGGCATTACTCTTCATATGAATGGGTATTTCACATTCTTAAGTTAGGGTACCAGATTTGTAATTTTTAGTACAACCACTTATAAATAACAGGAATGCAAAGTCAGAAGAACTTACTTTGTACAGGGACAGTCTGAAGGAAGATAGCAAGAACACCTATGAGAGCCGACCAACCAACAGCTTCCCATATGAAGTAAGTGACGACAACTGTCTGGATTGGCATGATCCACACAAAATGAAGCCACATGGTAACAGAGTCAAAGCGGTTCACATCGTTTGAGAGTAAATTTACTATCTGACCAGCAGCTGTCTTCCCTTGGGCTGATTTACTTAGACGCAGAATCTGTAACATTATTTGTATTACTGCTACTATGTAAGATCAATGATAATTACTAATAACATGGTTAGGACAGTCAGCCAGTCTCAATACATAAGCAGTTTATGCTGTGAATGTTCTCCAGTCAAATAAGTTTTGGGGTTATGGTTTTCATTTCCATCTACAGCATTCTTCATCATCATGAATCATCCAACATATCACAAGTGACCCCAGTGCAAATAGAATGTTCAGGATGAAGAATCTTGAGAAATGATTCACAGGACAGATTAATTTCAGGAAATCCAGGAAAAATACATTCTGCAGACAATAAAATAACAACAAATATCAATATTAATACTGTTATATATAATGATTTATTTTGACATATTGTTTATAAGCAACGTAGCATTTTCAGAGTTTCAATTTTAGTGGTAGAGAAGCACTTTTACTGGTTCTAATTCCAAATTTCCACAATCTTTAAAAACTGCAATGAAATTGCAATACAGGAAAACCCCAACATACACATTTGTTTCATTCTTAAGGTTTCTATGTAAGTTTAAAACCATGTAAGCCAAGTAATGCTTGAACAGGATTTCTTTTTTGACGTCTATGTTTGTTTCAATGGATAGTTAAACCCACACAGTATGTACAATAAGAATGTATCATAATACATCATATTGTAATGTATTATAATATACATCCTGTCTATACTGTACTAATGACTACACAAGTCAAAATGAAAAAAGAAGTATTTATGTATCCATATATTTGAAAATTCATGAAACTTTAACCCATGTAAGACACGGACTTACTTTAGTTTAATTTGTATATCATGAAATCACTGGAAAATCAGTTAGTACAGTTTTTCCCTCAAGAACCCATAGATGGCACATAAGCACAAGCAGTCCATGCATATGCTTGGGGTGGCACATTTTATGATAAATCCTTACATTAACATTGACTGCCCACCTGTGATAAAAAGGGTGCTAAAACTGTTATTTGCTTTGGGTAGCAGAGTATCTTCCACTGGCCCTACATGAGCCACAACAGTCTTCATGCACTGTTCTCTTTCTGTTGCATGTTACAAATGGAAAAGTACTCCAATTGTTATTTCCTAATTGCTATGTAACAACCACTTCCAATGCTATCTTCAATACAAAATAGTATGTTTCATCAGTTATTAAGCATCTGTAAATTTTTGTTTTAAATTATATGGACAAAAATTAATTTATAATATGTATGGCTATATTCTCAGAAATGACCTACTAAAACGTTACTGGTATACAGTGAAATAAACACACAGTTTTAATTTCCTACATCATTACATGTTTTGACATGTGTCCACCATCTTTCAAGTAACACAGGGTTTCATCTTCAGTGTCCAGTAAATATCATGGTGGAAAGCTAATATGAGTATATAACACAGATCCCAAATATCTCTGTGTGTGTGTTCACCATAGATCCATTGAGAAATTACATTCTGTGGATGTAGTTACTATCATGACAGCTACTTATTCACTACAATTCACTTACTCCATCTGCAAGGCAGAAGGGTGGCTCTTCTACCCTGATGATGGAGGCAGCATGTTTCTCCTAAACACTGGCACCTATCTACTAAACAACACAGCCCAGAAGACTATAATCTTTAATTTCCGTCTTTTACCTCTGACCAGATCTTTCCATACTTCTAAGAACAGCAGCCTCCTGGATAATCGGTTTTTACATTTTCTCTTTCACCTGGCTTTTATCAATTTTTAAATAATTCTCTAATCATGGCAATGTACATGTGAATTCTTCATTCATACTAATGAAGGCAAAATGATCTTCACCTTGCGATAAATGACCGAGCAGCATGCAATTCGTATTCTCATACCAATCTTCTGACAAGCCAAGAAGGAATGATGTGCCAAGAAAATGGAGAAGAGGGCAGTACAGATGAGAGCTCCTGCATACATATAAGCTTCATCCCTGGTTACTGCTGTGTTCTTGTTGAAAAAGATTATAAATTTTCCTAAAAAAATCGGTTGAGCTACCCTGGAAAAAAAAAAAAAGATGATTATTAAATACATCTGGCACACTGAGACAGAGAAAACATAATGCAGAGAAGGTTATAACTGTCCAACATCTTCTTCCTAGACACAAAACAATTGTTATGTCTAATAACATCTTACATTAACATCCCATTAACTGAATCTATGAATTTAATGGAATATTTAATCAAAATCAATCAATACAGAAAGATTGTAAAAAAATGATAATATTGTTAAAACTTTGTTAAATCAAAATTATGAACATGACAAATAACACTTTAAAATTTAATGCCTGAAAGGAAAAAACTAATAACATTTATCTTCTTGATGTAAAAACTGAAAGATGTCAAGGAAGAATAATTCTGGATATTTTGAGGAAAATTACTATTAGTATTAGAGCTTTAATTATAGATAACCAACACAACTCACCTCTAAGACACAACTGGCAGCCATTCAAGATATGCTATAACTACATCACATGAACTTCCTATCCTTAGAAAGTAACAAAAAACAGAAACAGTTAAAAGATCAAAGTAGCTGATAGTATAAGAAAACAAGAACAATACCAAATGATAACAAAACAGGTATTTTTTACATAGAGTGGCACATATGTTTAAAGAGTTATAAGATTAGCATAAGGTTCACTGAAATTTCAAATGGAATTTTTAACAACAAAATTTGTCAAAAATACATCAATAATATATTTTTGAAAGTGCAGCTACATTTATACGACACTTAAACTTGACACAGTAACAGTATACACTACGTGCTGTTGCCATCTAGTAAACAAATTTTTGTCACAGGTTGTCTATAAAAACAAAATTCTTAATCCCTCCTTTTCTTTAACTGGAAATAAACACCACAGTCAGAGTAAGGGTCATAGCTATTTTACAACTGGTGACTTATCACCAATCAGTTCGTCTTAGTTCTGAGCCTCTTAAGCCTCATGAACAGATATATAATCATAAGAATGAATATATTCAGAGCACAGGTCAAGGAGAAGCCAGGCACAGAAAATGTAAGAGGCTTAAACTTGGAGGCAGTCAAGCTTACATCTGTTCCAATGACTAAGCTGCTGTTGTAGCATAAGTAAGATAGGCATGATCTGCTTTCCATAGCCTGGACTGAGAGAGGACACGCTACATGTATATATACTTGACAAAAGGCCAAACCTATTCATAAGAGACAAACACATCCTCTTATCAGAGAGGATGTTACATAAAGACTATGACCAAAAGGGTTCAGTTACAAAAACATCTCTGGTTATGAATCTCAAGGGGTTGGCACCAAAATGAACTGACTGATAATAAACCACCAGTCATAAAGTAACTCTGAGTAATATATGACTCTGACTATAAGAGACTTAAACTTGGCTGCAGTCAGGCCTATGACCATTCAGCTGACACACTGCAGTCTCTGAGGAGCTACATAAGTTAAGGAATAGCCTGCTGCACAAGCCTGCGTTGACAGAAAACCTCTGCATATTTTGTATAAATGTTACTTATTACAGTGCAGTGACAAAAGATGCAGAGAGTTCATACAGACTTGTACGCTGTGACAGGATGGATATACTCGTGCTGAAACTACAGTGCAACAAACCTAGTGCCTACATATAGGTCTGACCACTCCATCATTGAAGAGTTAGCACCATTTTGAAACACATATTTGTCTATCAGAAAATAAAAATCTTGGTCATGAATCTCGAGGAAGCTGAAGACAGGAATGACTGTGCTGGCAAAGCACAACAAAAATTTGACCAACCAACCGACTGACAGCCTTGGCACAGATCACAAAGAAAACACAAAGTTGCATAGCAATGGCTCAATAGTTCTTCTACTGTTGGGCATGCAAAGTCAAAGTTATTTTACAACTGGCAATTTACTACCATTGCCTTCACATACATTTGTTACCATGGAGAGATGTACAACGTGTGGTGCATATCACATAGAAGACAGTGTGTTGCCTAGAAATGGCCCAACAGTTCCTCTAGTGTTGCATGTGCATTTGTTGCTGCAAAGGAGTGTGAGCCGTGCTGAAGGTCAGCAGGCTCTTGTGCGTGACATCATGGCACCTGCCATTCCTATATTCCATCTTCACCCCATATGTTGACGTATTATCAAAGTGATTGGCTATGTATCACATGACCTTCTATCCTCTTCCAATGTCGCAGAAGGGAATAAGACCTGCTGCACAGTCTGTGAGGCTACATAGTCGAGAGTGGATACTTACCAGCCAGCGGGGGATCGCTACTGGAAATTCTGTTTTGACATGGTACCTCTAAATTGCATTTGACAAATCTTCCGTGGCTGGCCGGTAAGGTAAAGGCTGCCCGTGATGGCAAGCCATTGGCTTTAGAACGGTTGCAATGCACGCATTTATTTATTTTCTATTATTATTATTTGTGAAACTGGGGCAGGTTAGCTTATTCTCTGTCGTGACTGTTGGCGACAAGTGATTGCTGAGCAATCATTGATTTGGGTTGTTGTACCCTGTTTGTGTCCTGATTACGTATTTTTTGTGTATATTCTGTGTAAGTCTTGTTATGTTGTTCATTAAATTTTGTTATTGTTATCTGAAAGGCCGACTTATCACTGTAGCTTCTCCATATTGCTTGGATACCCCACGAATATCTTGGGGAGATTGTAAACATAGCAATAGAGCCCGCAATAATGGGCTGCTTCTTCCAACTTCACGGCTTGAATAAGTAAATTTAGAGAAGAAGGGGCAGGGGTGGTTCAAGTGTTTACCATGTCACCTAGCAAATGCTGTCTCTTCCAGCTAAACTATTCTGGTTTCAGCCCTCATGTGACAATATTTATGCACGACTTCATATTATATATATTTTAGTCTATGTAATTTAAAAAAAAAGACTGCACGCCTTTAAAACATAGTTTGTGCCCATGAACATGACCTAACAGACTGAAACACTTTGAGTAAACTATCTGCATTATGTAGGTCCTAAAAGTTTTATGGTGATGGTTTAATACTCTAGTATATATACTGAAAATGCAATGGTATGGACAAAAAGGTTATATTAAAACTGTCTCACATTCTAATTTACCAACCTGAACACAACAAAGAGGATGAGTTGAATCAGTCCAGTGAAGATGTATAACCGACCAAACGCCTTCAAGATTGCTCGTAACAACCAAGGTTTCCTGTTCTTTTCTTTTGCGCTGCTGATTTCCAGATTCCAGTACCTTGACATAATAAAAATAATTAGTTATAAATTCCCATAGACACTCACGCTGTAGGCTTTCCTCCTGTTAGCATTTGTAACCACGCAGTTTCTGAACTGAATAAACTTCTGTGTTCCCAATTTCAGGTAGCATATTACCATACAGCATGAGGCAGACAGAATAGTAATGTATGTTTAATTAACAGTTTAGTCATATCAGAATTGCTGAAAAACTCATATTTGACACATAAATTAAATAATTCTTATTTTAAAGATTGAGTAATGCATGTGACATATTAATCCTCAGTTTACCATTGTTGAATATTTAGGAATACATATCTGATATGCAGATATTAAGTTATGATTTTGTGTAATGTACAGAAATAATTAATAAAACTTAAGTTGCTGAAGATCAAATTTACTTAAGAAACTTGGGACCTGTTTTTTTGCTTAGTGGGGGTGGAGTCCAACTGGGTCCACTTGGCACGGCGATCACTGATTGGCCTATTGTACCTGCCCCGGGTGATCATGACGAGGAGAATTTGGTGGAATGAAGATTGGCAGGGAAAACCGAAGTACTCAGAGGAAACCCGCCCCCAGCACCACTTTGTCCACCACAAATCCCACTTGACCAGCCCTGGGATCAAACCCGGGCCGCTGCAGTGGGAAGCCAGCGACTAACCGCTTGAGCTATGGCATGGCCTCAGACCTGTTTTGTTTTCCCAGGAAGAAAAATATGCCCATATTCAGAAATATGTGTAATGATGGGTATACTGTCAGCCACCCTTGTTGTCCTATCTGACTGAGACAAAGAGAAGCACATTCAGTTCATATATGAGACTGTTGGTTGATTGCTATAATCCCAACAGAGCATTTTATTTTGCCTCTGAGTGTACTTCTTTATCTGCAGTGAAGATTGTGCAAAGCAATAAAATCTGGTTGGCTTTATTATCTTCACAATACTAAGCGCCTATGTTCAGGTGAATTCTGTATCTGAAGAGGTGAAAAATATTCTGTAATTTATAACTACGTCAAAACTGGCCAGGCCCAACTGCTAATGCTAAGAGGGGTTTTGTGCATGGGCAGAAACACAAATGAAATATTGTCCAGGAAATCTGATAATTATTTTTCAGATAAATTTTTATTATGACATTTCAGGCTAATTATTAAAGATCAAAGCAAAATTAATATGCAGTGTTCTCACACAACCATTTCGGATTCATACAATTATCTGTTTGTAATTTGTTCTCGCTCAGAAAACTGTAAAGGTACTATCAGGTTTCCTCTCAGAACATGCATGCAATTAAAAAAAATGAGTAGACATTAATGGGGCATTTAGCATGGTAGTAGTCATGTTTCACTTTGGTAATACAGGGATAAAGAGGAAGGATCTTTGCAATTCACATGCACTGTGTGGTTGCTGAGGTGAGAAGTCATGACATAATTTCATTTGGTAACATTTAATGATGCTGTACAAACTGCAAATGCTCAACACATATGAATTATATGCAAAGAAGATTACGAAGTGTGAATTAGGACAGATGTGGTCGGCGTTCAATGGCTGGTACTGAGGAGAACCCAGGTAGGACAGATGCTGTTCCAACTGACATCAGAATTGGGTAACCCCTAAATAGAATTATAAGGCGCCATCTTTGTTATACAGCTGTTTTCAAGCAACATTAGCATTTAAAGTGTGAGAAGACTATGAATGTATATGCTGTCAACATATCAGGCTCTGGACCTTCCAAATGAGAATTCATACTATTACGCAACAAATAACCTACCCCAATGGAGATGATTCCTTCTTGAGAAGCAAAGAGTTACTCACCTAGTCAAGAAATTCCTAACATTTTATGGAACCATAAAGTTCATTACTGTATTCACAAGAACCACTCACTGACTCCTATTCTGACATGAATTTATCTGATTCATTCAAAGTCTCTTCAAGAACATATATTTGGGTTTATTATTTAGACAGAACTTCCGTATAGGATCTGCTTTCAAGAAGTAAAATACTTACCTGAAAATGTACGTGTAGGTATATCCTGTAACTTACTTTTCGAGGTCATCTCCAAGCATCTCTGATCGATCATTTGGAAGAATATCATAAAGATCTTCAACGTCCAGATCTTTGTCATATCCCTTCCAGAACAGGTCCTTTATCCACCTGAAATAAAAATAAAAACATTTTATGATTTACATAACCCAGCAATTTGCTCAACACTTCCATACTTCAAACAATTTTAGTTCAATATGAACATTCTGAAAAATGTTGAATAATTGTGCGTTTATAATATACAACTCGACATTGAGTGCATTGAACTATATATTTGTATTGTTACATTCTTTTACATAAATACTTACATTTGCAACATTCATTTTCATGCAGCATCTTGAAGGAATACTTGAAAATATTTGTCAATTAATTTGACTTGTAGAATATATTGCAGTAATAAATTTATATTTTATGTGGGGGGGAAAAGTCCCAAATTTGGAATGAGATATGGATAACATCTTACATCTCACAATTTTTAACCTTTTATTTTTTTACAAAAATATCAGATGCCATCGATCACTGAAACGGCAATCCCACTGCACCATGTAAGTACTAACAACATCAAAACAAAGTGTAGTGATTTTCTTGAACCCTCCTATTAACTGGGCACAGTGTGGCTTATTTAATATCCCTCCATATATTACCGGTATGTGGACTAAGTGACCGCTTAGGACTCCGACTTCCGAGGGGCCCCCAGATACTACTGTGAACTTTTAACTTTTACCATTAATTCTTCATACTGCTTAATGCAGTAGTTTCCAGAGTAGATGGCAAGCAGTGAAGTGGTGGGTGAAACACTCAAAGTGGTGAGCATAAAAATTACAGGAATGTCCCAAAACTAAAATACCAACTGATGAAATTCTGTATATATATATACCTACCACATAAAATCCATAAAAAAAAATTCATTTCACAGTATTATACGCTTCAGATGTTTTTCTTAGAATCTGATTGTTGCTTATGGTATTTTTAAAGAAAGTGCCTCCTTCATACTGTTATGGATTTCTGTATGACTGTTGGCGGCTTAAGAGTGATTTGTGGTTTTTGGCAGCATATTTCAAAGACAGCGAATCTGCTTTCATCCAGATGTCTGAAGATTATGATAATAGTGGATATGAGCCATTGCACATGATAGCTCTAAGGTTGTGTCTGTCATATATGCTGCTGCAATGATTTTGAGAAAAAAGAAAACACAGAAGGAATGCTGTTAGATGATGTATAATAGCTTTGTGTCTAGAATTCCCAGAATGAATCAAAATCTGTTTTATGTCGTTACTATTATTACTTACTTACTTATTCACTCATGGAGATGAGACCATCATGAGGAGCTGCCAATTCTGCAGCTACTCAAGAATTTCACAGCCTTTTATGGAACCCAAAGATTCATTACTGTGTTCACAAGAGCCATTCACTGGTCCCTATCCTGAGCCAGATAGATCCAATCCATACTATCCCATCCTATTTCTCTAAGATCCATTTTAATATTGTTCACCTACCTACGCCTTGGTCTTTCCAGTGGTCTCTTTCCTTCTGGCTTTCTCACCAGTATCCTATATGCATTCCTCGTCTTCCCAATTCGTGCTACATGACCTACCCACCTCATCATCCTTGACTTGATCATTCTAATTATATTTAGAGAAGAGTACAAGTTATGAAGCTCCTCATTGTGCAGTTTTCTCCAACCTCCTGACACTTCATCTCTCTTCAATCCCAATATTCTCCTCAAACACCTTCAGTCTATGTTTCTCCCTTAATGTCAGAGACCAAGTTTCACGCCCATGCAGAACCACGGGCAAAATTATAGTTTTCTATATTCGAATGTTTATGTTTTTGGATAACAGATGAGAAGACAATAGGTTCTGGACTGAATGGTAGCAAGCATTACCTGAGTTCAATCTTCTCTTAATTTCCTCCTTAATCAGGTTTTCATTTATCATCATCATTCCCAAATATATGAGCTGTGCAACATTTTTAAAACATCTGTTTCCTATCTTTATGTCATGATTTTGCTCTGCATTTTGGTGATGAGACAGCAACATATACTTAGTTTTCTCTGTGTTTACTTCTTGACCAACCTCCTTACTTGCGTCAATTAAAATTCGTGTGTTTTTCTTTATAGTATCTATATTATCACCCAGTAGATTCACATCATCAACATAGACCAACAGCTGTTGAGTCCCATTTAATTCCAGTCCCACCTGGTTTTCCTGGACCTTCCTAATGGCATATTCTAAAGCAAAGTTGAAAAGGAGTGGCAATAAAGAATATAAAGCATCTTGTTTTAGACCATTCTGGATAAGAAATTTACCAGACAAATGTTTACCTATATGGACTTTACTATATATTTCGTTTAAACATATTTTAATCAGTCTAACCAGTTTCGTGGGTATCCCAAACTCTATCAGAATATTGTGCAATACTTTCTTCCTAACTGAATCAGAGGCTTTCTTGAAGGCTATGAATAGCTGATGTACCGTCTCACTGTTCTCCCATTTTTTTCCTCCAGTATCTGACAAATTCAAACGATCTGATCTGTAGTTGATCTGTTATGTCGAAACCCACACTGGAATTTGATCACTACCTGGCGATTTATATCATTTCAGTTTTGTAATAGCATTATCAACCTCAAAAGGGCTAGATCAGGTACCAATGGCTCAGCTGTATGGATTTCTGTCTGCCTAACATCACTGACCCTACGTACATTCAATAACTGAGAAAAGTAGTTCCTCCACCTATTCAAAATGTTGTGGGAATCTGCAAGCAGATCACCATTCTCATCCTTCACTAAGTTACTGTTAAGCTGGTAACCCCTTTTAAAGTAATTTATTCCTCTATACAGGTGTCAAATGTTCTTGTTCTTACTGTTCATTGCAAGTTCATCAATTCTGTCTTTCAGACATTCCCTCTTTTTGTTCCTGAAATGCCTTATATTCTTCAGATTATCCCCATTTAACTCGCTTGGACCCTGTAACCATTTCAATTTGGCTCGTTTCCTTTGGTCTAATAATTTTGAGTATCTTTCATTGAACCATGACTTGTGCTTCTTCAGTTCATGATAACCTAGACTCTCCTTGAAAGAAATTTTGATATTCTCTCTAATAGTTTCACAAGCTTTATTAACATCCACCTCCGTGTCCAAGTTTTCCAAAGCCACGAATCTATTTGAGATTTCAACACGATACTGCTCTTTACCCTCTACCTCATTTAATTTCTTGAGATTGAACCTCTCCATATGAACTCTGTGTGTTGTTTGCTCACTTCCAGTCTCTCCCTAACCTTTATCACCTCAAGGTAGTGGTCAGTATCACAATCTGCTGGCCTGAATTATCAGACGTCAAGTATACTTGAATGCTGTCTCCTATCTATCAAAATATGGTCAATTTGATGGTGTATTTTCCCATCAGGAGATGTCTAAGTAAATTTATGGATGTTACGATGTGGGAACATTGTTCTTTTGACAGTAAGATTTTTTGATGTGGCAAAGTTTACTACTCTAACCTCATTATCATTACTAATTTCATGCAAACTATCATTTCCAATTGTTGGTTTGAAAATGTCTTCCCTCCCTACTATGGCACTGAAATTTCCTAACAACATTTTCATAGGGTACTTCGGGAATTTATTAAATACATCTTCTGGTTCTTCATAGAACCTGTCCTTTATGTGATCAATTTTATCTTCTGCTGGGACGTGAACATTCATAATGATGATATCACACCAACGACCTTTTAGTATTATATATATCCTATCACTAACGAACTCTACCCTCTTAACTGCTGATACTATTATTATTGCTATTATATAGATGTTTAAACTCTGAATTATGATGATACAATCATAGGCTTTGTGGGAAGTAGTGTAAAATTCATTCAAAGAAGCGCCAAAATTTCTTCTTCCTTCCTTAATTTTTGGTATAATTTAGATTTAAATAATATGATGATTCTAACTAAATCAAGAAGTCATGATCAAAACAACTTTTTATTAATTTCTGAACTTAGTATTCCATTTCATTGAGGGCTACCTTCTATATATGTTCGTATTTTTATAAATATGTTACATTTTCAGTAACGATATGAAAAAATGTTCAAAATTGTAAAACTTATTTCAGCTACACCATGTAGGGCTCCAAAATGTCCTTCAGCGTAGAGCCCCATGAACCTCAAATCCGTCACTGTCTCCGTTACGTTACTTTGGGAAGGGTAAAAATAAGCAGAACGAATACAAATTAGGGTCTGTGAGAACAGCTGTGATAACTCTTCTGATGAAGAAGGAACTACAACAGCAATCGAAACAGAAAGGGTCGACAAATGAAGCCGACACTAGTCAGCAACGACATTTCAACCGACGAAATGGCGGAGCCCAGAACACGGAGCTTTCAGAGGCTATCAATAAATCGGTGAATATTAACAAAACATGAAACGTTTAAGTTTTTGTAAATGGTGTAGCTGTATACTTGTATTCTGGAGGTGCTCGATTCGTATCTTGGCCGGGATACTGTCCTGACGTTTTTCGTGGGTTTCCCCCGATTTTCCAGACAAATGCCTCAGACAGTACCTCGGTTAGGTACCACTTTTTCCTTTAAACTCATCATTCGCGAATCATGCGATGCTGTACAGTCTAGGTTCTGACTGAATCGCAAAATAATATCCCCCCCCAAAATAATAATCCGCTACGTCTAATCCAGTAGAGTTTCATTTGTCGCTGCAACTCTAGTAAATTTGTATCATAAAATTATCTCGCTCTCTTTCACGCATTTACCAAACAGAACTTCGTGTTAACAACAAGGTCAGGACCAAGCTTGCATTTGTGAACCATTGAAACATGTCTGTCTGCAAACATCTGACCCGTTTCGACACACTGCTGCTCTTCTATATGTTTCATCATTAATTGCAGTTATAAATTTTACTGCTTGCTAGCGCATTCGTTTTAAACTGTCTCCGTTTGATAGGTCTGCACCGAGCAAACTGGCTCACGTGACAACGCTCCTAATTTATAAATCTGAAGGTATCCAGTTCGAAACTTGACCGGAACACGGATTATCCTGACTGAGGTTTTCCGCAATTTACATCAGGCCCTCTACGCAAGTTGTCCCTTGTATTAGGCTACCACCG